GTGCCTCCCCATGTTCGGGGAGCACCAGCCGGCCACGGCACGCCAGACGGGGCCGCGCGGGTGCTGGAGGGGGAGGAAGAATCACCGCCCTTGAAGGCCCCTTGCGGGTCTCATCTCCAGCAGAGCTTTGCTTTCCTGACAGCGCCCCTGCGTGCCTGGGCGTCGTTTCTGTGACCCTCCTCTGTAGCGCGTCCCTGCCTCCGGCTCCCGGAACAGCCATCTCGCACCGGGGCTCTGCCTGGAGCTCCCTGCTTGGCCAGGCCAGGCCAGGCTCCTGCTGCGTCCGCTTGCTTTGCTGAGTGCTTGGAGGGGCTGCCCTGGCTCAGGTGGATGTATAGAACGTAACTCTGAAACTTCGTCACCACTGGGATTCTGCTGTCCTAAAAGAGGAACTGCCTGTTTGATGGTCTCTCTGGTTCACCAGGATCTCCCTGTAAAGTCATTTGATCAGGTGCATGAGAAGACATTCAGTCTTCCACTCAGCCAGGGACACTTAGGTGATTGGCTGTTGTGCAGACCCCACTGGAGTAGGAACGGGGGCTTGTAGCCTTTTAACCGTATTTAATTTAGGGACTCGGTTTAGTAGTGGACTTGGCAGTGTTAGGTTAACAGTTGGACTTGATGATCTCAAAGGCCTTGTCCAACCTAAGTGATTCTATGATTCTATAATGTGCAGTCCCAAACTCCCAGTGGAGCTTCCCCTCACCCCACCCCGCGAAAAAATCTATGGTCGTTTATGGACTTCTGTTTCCTTGCTGTTCCTGTGTGTTTCAGATACACCAGGTCATCCCTTGCTGAAAGAAAAAGTCTTGCTTTCAGGATCATGTACTGCAATAGAGGCTGCAGCTGGCAGCCTAGACAACTAATTTAAGCCTTGTTTTATGCAGAGTTTAGTTGTTGGTGCATACGATGAGGTATCCGTGTAAGTATACAACAAAGAAGGGTGGCCACATTTTTAAAAGTGACCAGAAAGTCTTTGTGATTTTTGCCCCTGTGTGAGGCGGGGATTTCATCTCTTTGAACCCCATTGTCCCTCTGATGCTTATACCCTAACTGCTTCTCCGAAGTCTGGAGCGAGGGGATATCCAGCAAAAGGTGTTAAAATAAAGCTGAACAAACATTGTTCCATAAAGTGATGCCTGAGATTATAGTTACCAGATATTGTGGGTGCCAAGAATATAGAAGGGTTATGAAGCGATTAGACAGATTTATGGGAAGAAGGTGTCAGCAACAGGGTTTTTGTTTCTATGACTGTGAGATCCTATTTGAATCTGGTAGGGAGAGATGGAAGCCACCTTGCTAAGTGGGACAAATGTATCTCTGCCAGTGAGATGGCTGACCTGGTAAGGAGGTCTTTGAAGAAGGAATGATGGGAGAAGGAAAGAGCAGCAGTCCCTGCAAGTGGCCAGATGCTGAGCTCCTGGAGGCCATCGTTGGCCACCACGGAGCGCAGGATGGACTGGAAAGGCTTATAGAGTGGACGTTTAGCTTTGGTTTTGGGTGACCACTGCATGCAGATGAAGCAGAAGTCATGTCAGCAGGGGTCCTGTTATGCCATGTTGTC